TTATTTAAATGCTGAAGAAGATAATAATTAATTTTCTTTTTTTTCATCCGAACAATACAATTTCTCATCATATACATGTTAATAGAAAGAAATCAGTGATGCAAAGGATGAAAGCATTAACGCTTCAGAATTTTATTTGAATACGTCAAACATACGTGTAATAATGTATTTACTTGTATTGCTAAAAATAGTATGCTAGGAAATTAATAGCTTACATAACAATGGAAGAACATTCATTGTATACATCGCATACTCTAATGAAACTGCTAAAATGTCAATATGAAGAAATATGATTAAGAGAAATGACAAGTTTGCATTTAAGATTAATTGAATATATTAATAAAATGCATTCATAATATTTTTGATCTTGTATAGAAATCATCATTAGATACAGTCATTATTTAAAATCATGAACGAATATATCCTTTGATAACAACACTAATTACAACTATCGGAAACGGCGTCTTATACGCTCCGAAACAGTGATGAAATAGTGTAATCTTGTATTATTTTTCACCGTATTCCTCCGTAATCCGTTATACCTGAAAACGAGCCATTTTTTTGCTAGAAAACAATGCTCATTTTTCATACTATTTTTATTGTTTTCAGAGATGCCGGATTATGATAACGGGAAAACACTGATTTTTACACTATTTACGACTGTTTACGACACAGTTGTTTCTGTTCTGGATAACATAAATCTTTATTTTTCTGTAAGCATAATAACTACTATAAAGCCAAAACAATAACAAAAATATCGAATATTCTATGAATAAATGTAATGAGAACGCGGATAACAGATTATTATTACTGACTAAATATAGACTAAATACATAAATACAGACATTACACTATTCGAACTTGTTGATAGATTATATTGTCGTTGTTATCGTGACCTACTAAAATAGAAGAAGACTGTTATTAGTTATGGCGATATGTGGGCAGTCGGTATTATGATGGTGCTCTATCTAGGTGTTGAAAGAGTTGTTAATGATCGAGTTACGCGAAGATATAGAGTAGCGTTAAATTTAATAGATAAATTCCAGTGCGCAGTCGAATGATTCAATCTATACCAAGGCTCACACTGGCTCTCTCATATTTAATTCGACTAAATTGCTGCAAAATAATCGAAACATTATAATTTATCAAACTGATAAAGAAAATTAATAAATAAATGGAACTGATAAAAAAACATGCTAACAAAGTTACTGTATTTGTTTTTTCACACTATTGCACATAGAATACTTAAAAATTTGTACATGCAGCAAATTAACCTATTCATCTCATTATTTCATCTATCGATATATGTAATTATGATCATTAAAATGAATATACGTTGTCAACTATTGTTTAATATGCAAAAATCATTCTGGAAATTCAATCAATGCTATTCAAACGCTAATGAATTTTGATGTTAATAAATCATATACAAATACCCTTATGAATGTAATTACATTAAATGGCACAAATTAGATTTTGATTTTTTGATAAAAGATATCTAACAAATTATCGTTGTATTAATAACATTAACATTAATACCCATTTTAACAGCTCTATCTACGGAAAATCTTGAACAAAATTAAATACATATTTTTATACATTTCCAAAAAAGCAAAAGAATATATTTCAAACTTTGTAATAAGTTAATAAACAGTATCCGAATATATAGCATACAACTGAATAAGAATTGAAGATGACTCATTCTATTACATGTGTCAATTGGCGGAGATAAAAACATCTATTTTAATCATATTAATATATACAAAAAACCTACTAATTCAAGTTTAATTAAAACATTAGTGATTCGAAAACATTACATACGGTAACAAAACGAATTATAACAAACAATGAACCAAACCTAGTGTTGAAAATTTGCTCAAGAAAATGGTATCCTTCGTATTTAATAACAGAAGTATATGTGAAGCAGGCACAACGCAGTTGGTAAGAGAATGATATCAGATCAGTATCTAATATAATCTATAGCCAGTCAAAACAGTTGACAACGTTAGGTATTATCATTAAACAAATATGTAAAACACTTGCATTGTTGTTAAATCAACTTATACTTTAGAAAAACATGGCTAAAAAGGAAAACAAGACAAGAGAAGTTCGTTCATAAGATTTCATCTTTACAATGTGATAAATATTATGCCTGCGAATCAGAACGGAAAAAAATGGATTCAAACCACATCAATCCAATATTACAATTAAGTAGAATCTTTAAGCATACTAAAGCAAAGGAATTAAGGAGAACTTTAATTTAACATTACACAATTATAAACTTTGGCATTAATAACAAATCTATGCAGAACATTTTATTAGAAAGTCTATTTCTGTAAATTCAAATTAAATGCATTTGTATACGATAATGCTTTCAGATAATTTTGACGATAGTATTCGGTTCTACGAGTAATGGTAATTCAAATAGTTGTTGATCTTTTGTTTTTGTTTGTCACTTTTTTATGTAAAGAACTAGTTGATATATAGATTTTATTTCTATTTTTCTATTGTTCCATGATGATAAGAAATATTTCTAATTGGAAGCTGTTCTCTTTCTCGTAGAGAAGAGTCTTGGAAACATAAATTGTCTGCTTGCTTGGTTATCTGTCCACACTTCAATGATTGATCCAAAAGTTAGGTAAATATATGAAAGGAATTTTTTTTTATAATGGTTGACCGAAATGTTATCGAGGCCGAGGAACTCGAATCTGGTCTTAGTTTTTTAAAATTTTTTTCGGGTCAATTCTTTTACAAAAAGATATTTTTTATAAGAGCTGATCGAACAATTATCAAGATAGCGAAACTCAAATCTGAAGTCGACTTTTAAAACTGTTTAAATAAATATTTTACTGGTATAGCGAAGACATATCAGTTCTACGATAAAGAACTGAGCAAGTCTCCAGATGAGTGCTGTTTGTTTTTTTGTTCTCGATGCAATTTAATGATTTCAATAATAAAGATATAAGAAGCAAAGCATTGAATGTTAGAAAAGTTGCTGTCAGAAATCGCCTACATCTCTTTGTGGGTGTGGCTGTTAATATCGATAAAAAAGACGCTCGAACCCACCCACACCCCCATGATGGCTTCAGAAGTTAGTATAAAAAAATAAAAAGCTTACGACACTCGGTATTCCCAGGCGGTCACCCATCCAAGTACTAACCAAGCCCGACTTTGCTTAACTTCAGTGATCGGACGAGAACTGGTGTATTCAAAGTGGTATGGTCGTAGGCATACAACATTCTTCCACTTATCCATTTTGTAGTATCTAAGTTCATCACGACAGATGAATTAAAACTTTAGTGAAAATGAGAAAACGGCAATTATTATTCATCAAGAACGCAAATTACAAATCTAATACCGAAATGTTGTATGGACTGTTTCATACTATTGTACATACTCTGACCTTGATGTATATGGAATCCATTTTCATTAATACAATCTATTTTACTATCTAAAAATTTCAAGAATTTTACCTTCACTATCTAAATCAAGTAGGTGGATATTTAAATAAAAAGTTTTAACGCGTATAGATGCTTTTCAAGTGAAACTGCTATGAATGTTATACCTACTAACTCCCAATGTGCAATATATAATTCATAAAATATTTACTGAAAGGTTCTTTATGTTGTGCTCTGAAATTTTGTAAACATTAAAGAAAATACTACCGAGAGAAGGAAATCCGTATGAATGAGATCTGACTGTAAAAATACTACAATAATTTTAATTGTAGAAAAAATAAAAAAAGCTTACGACACTCGGTATTCCCAGGCGGTCACCCATCCAAGTACTAACCGAGCCCGATGTTGCTTAACTTCAGTGATCGGACGAGAACTGGTGTATTCAAAGTGGTATGGTCGTAGGCATACAACATTCTTTCACTTTTCCCTTTTGTAGTATCGTACGGATGTGAGTGTGGGTAATGGATTCAAGACGCTCACATCCACAGTCACATCCTCAAATAATAGAAAATGTTAGTTACTGACAGATACGATCTTTATCTTCAAATTAATGCTGAGTGGTATGATCCATAAACAGAACCTTGGATAGCTGTTCTTAATATGAAATATACACTACCGTCGCTTACAATATCCTACTTAATAAATACAATGATTAGCTACTAAAACAATACTTAAATGGAGTCTAGCTTCATTTGATGGAGATCATGATAGAAAGAACTTAACTATCCGGATGTGATGCTACTTTATTTATATACTTTCTTTCTTTGTTCCTCATTTGTGTATTATTATCTACAGACACACTTACGAGGAAAGGTCATCAAGTGATAATAAATCATCGATATTTTGTAGAACATTCAAATCAAGAGAAAATGTGATTATTTACATTTTTTCATAACATGTTGTAAGATCAGTTAGTTGTACTTCATTGATATTTATACGATGAATGTAAATAAATGTACTTTTGTCATCATCAATTAAATCACATTTGATGGAAACGTTCCGTAGGTAAGCTAAGAAGACTAACACTATTTTGCCCAAAAGTCATCATTATTTCTCAGTTCAAACACGTGATGCATAGAAAGCATTTTAGCTTATTCTATCGGCTGACTGTTTTTCTTCGAGAATTTAATTTCGAATGAGAAAATGTGAAACATAATAACATTTTGATTATTATTTGTACATCAGTGTAACATCTATTTTAGTTTTAGCGACTTATTTTATTGTATCTGTAGTCAAATACAAATAATTATTATAAGTAAAATGTTTTTTTTTTACCACCATAAATAAACTTTTCGATTAACATGTTTTATAGTATAATTACGGATAAGTTCTTTTGAATCAATTAAAGTTTTCACTGATTCGAAGAAATCTTTACGTTGTTTTGAAAGACATAATAATGATAAATTTGATTCTAATAAAATAAATTGAAGAATTGATTCTAACTGAATTTTATGTAAATTAATTGTTAAAGGTTTCATTTGAGAAAAAAGAAGAATACATAATTGAATTTTATCTAATGTTATTCCTTTTATAATTGTTACATTTTCAATTTTATTTCTATTTGATATAAATGGAAATTGTTGATTTTGTTGAAATGAAAGAGAATTGGTTCTATTAAGTAATAAAGAATCAAATTCTAACGTTTGAACATCTATTGTATGAGAAAGTAATTCAAGAATTTGTTCAAATAATAAATGATGACAACGAAGAATTAATTTTGTTCTTTATTTTAATGGAATAATTCGATTAAAATCATTTAAAATAAAATTTCGAGATAAATGAAATGTATCAGTCAGAGTTAATTCATTTACATATGGAAAATAACCAAGAAAACACCCTCAAGATGATTTGAAATTAATTGTTCCCAACGATTGCCATTGAAATATCTATTATCGTCATTTATAGCCTCATGTATTGATGTAAAACATAAAATTTGCAGTGGCGTAAATAGGGGGGGGGGGGCGCGTGGGGCGCAATACCCCCCCTGCTTTCGAAAACTAATAGGAAAAAGGGGGTTTACGCCCCCCCCTACTTCTGAAAATTTCGTTTTTCTGGTCGTCAAAATAGAAAAAAAAAAGCTGCACCCCCCCTGCTCTGACACCTGACTTACGCCCCTGAAAACTTGTACTGATTGAAAAATGTTTTTCATTAATAATTCAAAATGATTAACAAAGCCATCATACAATTTAAGAGATACATAAGTTAAATTATTTGATTATTTATCCGAAGAATCGTACCATATCCGTTAATCATATATTCCAATGATATTCTTCATAATTTTAGTCATAAACTCTCAACACATATCAATGAAATTCTTTGAGAAATATTTCCAAATTTTAATTCTGTTTCATTCAGTTATTAGATCATCTGAGATCACTCTTCATCTTACTGATTGGATAAATGTCTAACTGAATGGCCATTCGAATGGAATATAACAAAAAATAGATTTGATCTCCATCGATGCTTACTCTTCTCATATTTGTTGTTCCATCGAAACTTTATCGAAAACAATAATAGAATTCAATAAAAAAACTTCAAAATTAATATGTTTATTTAGATTTGATACTGTATTTGTGAATAAATATGAGAGGCAAATTATTTTTGGAGATCGTATACAGCTCTGAAATGAAATGAAATGCTCAGAGTGTGGGTGCATAGAATCAGAACGCAATGTGATGTGCTCTAGCAGAGCCACATTGTAGTAGAACGAGATATTCTATCTTATTTTTTTTCCTCCTCAGAAATAGGTCTTAATTATATTGTCTTGTGAAAACGTACATTTTTCTCTCTGACATACTCTTCTTCAACTTGAATTTATTACACCCACTCACCCGTTTTCAAGCGGTTTGCTGACGCCATCATCTACCGGGCAATATCATTTTATTCTCGAATGTTCTCTCTAAATAGTTCATAATAAAATCTTTTGGCAGCCGCATATATTTTTTGTTTTGCAAAAACGTTATATTTCATTAGAAAAAAAAAAATATAGAATTTATTTGTCTATCTCCAATACGTTTTTGCAATAGTACGAGTCATACTCCATGCTTCATCCAATGCTTGAACAACTTCATCTGGAAGTGGTC